ATTATTCCATATACTGTACAAGGTGCACTGTAATGGAGTGACATTCTTCCTAGTTCAGTTCTGATAAGGGGAGTGTGAAGCAACAACCTATTCTGTGACAGAGTACCAAGGTTATGTGAGGTCAGAGTTAAAAGGGATGAAATATAAGGTGGAAGCATCTGTATCAAAGCTTGAGACAAATGAACAAATACCAAAGCTGTTCCCGTCTCACAGCCGAATGTGGCCAGCCAACCTTTCAGTAAAGGTGGCAGCAATGGGTGCTGTAAGAATCACCTGTTATGAAAGGTTCATAGTCATTAATCACAGTCATTTTTGAGGTAAGGCTTGGATATAGAAAGAGTATGGTGCATTTTTAATATAGATCAGACAGTGACAAGTTTCAACGGTGAGTTTTCAGATCATTATATGGCAACCCACTGGAAAGATAGACTACTTCTGAATGTGTGCTTTAGTACTGGTCAGAGATGGGAGTAGGTCGCACATGTTCAACTCACAAGCAGATCTCAGGTCTTGACACTCAAGTCTCAAGCACCTTCCAAGTCACTGTGGTGAAAATCAAGCAAGTCAAGTCATTGTTACAAGTCAGTTACATTCCACCATTTGGCACAGCTTATGTTGTTTTATCTTTATGAGTTTGGGAGTGTGACTTGACTTATGAGTCAAAATTTATATTTACTGCAGGGTTATTGTACAGCACAGTGTTTCTGTTATTTTGTCCAACCACTGTTGGTCAGTTATTCAGGCACAAAATGTGAATTATAAAAATTAAATTAACTATAGCAGGTGTTGTTGCAAAGCAGCAAAGGCTGTGATAACCTTTTTCCTAGTCAATATGGCTTCAGCTTAGTTGGTAAAAAGTATAGATTATTTCCACTTTTCCACCAACTGTCACTTAACTTGTACAGTCCGTTGTGCATGTAATCATTATTGTGAGTAAATCTACATTGTCGTCACATTAACAATTAAGACCTCAGCACTGCCCAGGAGGCAAACTGGCACCTCTCGAGCTAGCAGTCCAATTGTAATTGGAATTTTAATGTGTGTCATACCGCAGAAAGCCAGAGAACTCTATCGAGAAGATCAGGTCTTACAGCAGCTAGAGGCGGATCGTGCCTGTGTAGCAGAGCACCTGCAACATCATGGGAATGGGAAGCCTGTCGACGCCCAGAGAAGACAAGAGGCACTGCAGCACTACACCACCTGCCGGGAAGAACGGATCCAGGACTTCCTAGAAGCACTGAAGCACAAGAGAGACTCTTTCTTTAATGACTTAACGAGCAGCGCCGTCTTGGCCTAGGAGGGCTCCGAAGAACAACACCCCATGTTGAAGTGGGGATGAAACCTCTCCTGTCCTCTTCCCAAAAGGGCTTTCTGCGGAAAAGTGAAGAACCAACAGTAACTGGGGATGATTTCATTGTGTTACTGATCTGTACAAGACGAGAGGGCAATTTTACCCCTATGGGGCTGTAGAAAAAATTGATATTTATGATTGTAGATTAAAAAAAAAGTCTAATACGTGGAAATGTCTGGTCAAAATGTAGTTAAGTACTTGTGTAAATTGTCTGTCAAATGCATGCTATTGATTGGAAGATCAAATTATATGAGTGAAAGCCAGAGATCCTCTGTTTTGGAGACGTTCCCAAAGCAGCCGTCCAGATTAATCAGCACAGTTTTGCATTTTTTGTTGTGGCCCAAAGAAAGTGTTGTTTGTTGAGTGTGATGTTGATGACATAACTAGATTTTGACCAGCTTTCTTTAACAGAATAAAGCAATTACTGTATGTCAGATATGAGTAAACAATGTTCGATTCAGTCCTTTGTACTTACATACCACATGTCAATGTTATGGCCATCTTAACATGTGCAGCAGAAAAATATATCTTTCATAAGGTCCATGCTGCTGATGTGTACCAGCTCAAGGGAAACCAAATGACTGTATTTAATTTCCTGTTAGGTCACTGAAGAAAAGCTTTCAGTCCATACAGCCATATTAACTAAACCTTTAATTCCTACAAGTAAATGTGAGTACTGGAGCTCTCAACTAATTAACATGGTAAATATACTGTTTAAATTAAGAACTGTAATGTGTATATTAAATCAAAATGATTGTATATAGTTGCTATTTTGTTCACAACAAATATTTAGTTAATAGTTGTAATGTTGTAGTACATACAGTGCCCTCCAAAAGTATTGGAACAGTGAGTCCAATTCGTTTACTTTTGTTGTAGACTGAAAACATTTGGGTTTGACATCAAAAGATGAATATGAGACAAGAGATCAACATTTCAGCTTTTATTTCCAGGTATTTACATCTGGATCTGATACACAACTTAGAAGATAGCATTATTTGTAATGGAACACAAATTTTTTAGGTGAGCAAAAGTATTGGAACATATAAACTTAAAATAGATTAAAGTGAATGAGACTTAATATTTAGTTGCAAATCCTTTGCTTTCAATAACTGCATCAAGCCTGTGACCCACTGACATCACCAAACTTTTGCATTCTTTTGTGATGCTTTTCCAGGCTTTCACCGCAGCCTCTTTCAGTTGTTGTTTGTTTTGGGGGGTTACTCCCTTCAGTCTCCTCTTCAGCAGGTAAAATGCATGCTCTATTGGGTTTAAGTCTGGAGACTGACTTGGCCAGTCTAAAACCTTCCACTTCTTGCCCCTGATGAACTCCTTTGTTGTTTTGGCAGTGTGTTTTGAGTCGTTATCTTGTTGCATGATGAAGGATCTCCCAATCAGTTTGGTTGCATCTTTCTTTAAATTAGCAGACAAAATGTTTCTGTAGACTTCTGAGTTCATTTTGCTGCTGCCATCATATGTTATATCATCAGTGAAGATGAAAGAGCCCGTCCCAGAAGAAGCCATGCAAGCCCAAGCCATGACATTACCTCCACCGTGTTTCACAGATGAGCTTGTATGTTTGGGATCATGAGCAGATCCTTTCTTTCTCCAAACTTTTGCCTTTCCATCACTTTGGAAAAAGTTAATCTTTGTCTCATCAGTCCATAAAACTTTTTCCCAGAATTTCTGAGGCTCATCTCTGTACCTTTTGGCAAATTCCAGCCTGGCCTTGCTAATGAGTGGTTTGCATCTTCTGGTGTAGCCTCTGTACTTTTGTTCATGAAGTCTTCTGCGAACAGTAGATTGTGATACCTTCACTCCTGCCCTCTGGAGGTTGTTGCTGATGTCACTAACAGTTGTTTTAGGGTCTTTCTTTACAGCTCTCACAATGTTTCTGTCATCAACTGCTGATGTTTTCCTTGGTCTACCTGTTCGACGTCTGTTGCTTAGTACACCAGTGGTTTCTTTCTTCTTCAGGACATTCCAAATGGTTGTACTGGCTATGGGCAATGTTTGTGCAATGGCTCTGATTGATTGTCCATCTTCTCTCAGATTCACAATTGCTTCTTTTTCACCCATAGACAGCTCTCTGGTTTTCATGTTGGTTCCACCTCTAAATGCAGTCTGCACAGGCAAAACCTATCGTACCCAATCTGAAACTGAGCTCAGACATCCAGTGCTATTTATTGTTTGAATAATCAATGTAATTGGGAGACACCTGGGCAACAAAACACACCTGTCAGTCACATGTTCCAATACTTTTGCTCTCATGAAAAATGGGTGGGTTCAAACAAAAGGTGCTATCTTCTAAGTTGTGTATCAGATCCAGATGTAAATACCTGGAAATGAAAGCTGAAATGTTGATCTCTTGTCCCATATTCATCTTTTGATGTCAAACCCAAATATTTTCAGTCTACAACAAAAATAAAGGAATTGGCCTCACTGTTCCAATACTTTTGGAGGGCACTGTATAAAGATGGGTAAACTATGACTGGCAGTCAGCGATCTAACACAAGTAAAGAAGCACTAATATTTTTCAAAACTGTTTATTGGTTTTGTTCATTTTGGTCTTTTCAAAAAGTCTTTAATCGCTCAGTCTTGAATTTTATCCTAATCCACTTACTGGGAATACGAAATATTAACAAAAAGTAATTCATATTTTCAGAGAGCCAATCTTATAACTCAAGAGGAAGACATACTAAAAAATTTTTTTTACCTGAAGGAATAGTAGCCACAGAATAAATACACTCAATTGCATGTAAAAACACATGTACAAGTATTAGCAGCATCATATAATTAAAGTATGAAAAGTCAAATACTCAAAAGCAGATTGGTCCCATCAGAATTGTAATATTATATTAGTGCATAAGCAGTATTTTAAAATTGTCAAGGTAAAGTTTATTTGAACAACATTATACTGTTGGATAGTTTATAACACTGTATCACACCGTTTTGTATGAAATTTTGAGACTTGAAAAACAAAGAACTACATATTTTGGTGCTAATATTTCGTACTTAAGTAAGATTTTGATTCCAGGAGGGTTTTTTCCACTGTGGCATTGCTTTTTTATTTATATAAAAGTAATTCCTCCCCCACAGAAATAGGAAATATTAATATTTACAAAAAGTACTATTATATATTTTCAGAGAGGCAATCCTCATGCAACTGAGGAATTGGTCCCATCAGTATTGGAATATTATTACTAGTGCATAAACAAGTAAGCAGTATTTTAAAATTGTCAAGGTGAAACTAATATTAACTACTTTATACTGTTGAATAGTTTATAAGATTGCATCACATTGTAAACTGATTACCTTGTTTGCATACAAAATTGTAATTTGGAAAAAAAAACTACCTATTTTGATGCTAATACTTTGATTCCAGCAGTATCTACATACTGTGGCACTGCTTTTCTACACATGCAAAAGCACCCCTTCCCCCACAGAAGTGTACGCGGTGAACTGGACCTACTTGTTGTCTAAAGCGGCGCCATTTTCCCAATGACATCTTAATTAATAATCAATCAGAAACCGATGACGCTGCGCCCCCCGGCGGCACTGACCAGTATTTTCCGGGCCGCCCCCTGCCTCTTTAACAAATGGGTGGTGCCTGTGGGTCACGTGACGCGTCTGCGTCCAATGACACACACCGAAACACAAAACTGGTTCGAACCGGTTTCGTTCTTATATTTCAGCGTAAACTACAAAACCATTTGTTTGCATTATACATTCGCCATTTTACACAGCTACTGGTCGGTTGTTGTGTGTTATCTCTCCGGAGAAAAACCCCGTCTTTACGGTTTTATTTTGTGAGCTTTCTGTACATTTCCTACCAGCAACATGGGCAAAGCAAAGGTAAGATTTTTTTGGTATTATTATAATATATATATATTTTTTTTAGTCAGTGCACTACGTTCATGTAAAGTTAAGATTTCCGTTAGGCTGCGTTTGATATATCTGCATCAGAGGAACGTCATCATCCCTAACAAACGGTGCAGCCATGGCGGTCCGACAGCAGAGACCTGGGCGGGCATCCTCTCATTCGTCGAAAATAGAAGTTTGCGGTCTAGGTAGTCAAGTGAAATGTGTGTAAATCAGTTTAACACGACCGATAAAGGGTAAATTCGTACTTCCACGCCCTGCGCCACAGCTCTGACAAATGTAACCGTTGACATTGCGCTGTTTTCCCTCTTGGCAGCAGGTTGGGAAGGGGGGAATCTTGACAGATTGCAAATACACACTGTAATATAACGTTATAGGTGTAGCTGTCAGGTTAATATGAATGCACAACTCGTGATCTACCGAATAAATCACTGGTGAGCGGTGAATATAGCAAAGCACTAAGCACTACGTGCCGTTAAGTTGAAGCACAACTTGCCAATATGAGGAAGGGGTTGGGGGAGGGGAGCCCGCATTTATTTATTTTATTTCTCACTCTGTTTTGAGTAGGGGAAAGTCAGGCTAGTCCGTGCACGTTGATTCAAAACAGGTTTCATGTTTCATCAGCCAGTTTGAATTTAATCGAGGTTGGCCTAAAAATATCTTGCATAAATCGTGGGACATTACCGTTACACGGAGGCGCATCAGGAAATAAAATGCAGCGATGTCAAATGGTATATTTTTTTCAGCGGGGTGTTTTTTTTTTTTTTTTTTAATTAGGACTAACGTGCTTTTGCATGCAGCGATTTCTTTAGCAGGTATTAATACATTTTGTAAATATATAATAATATAATATAATATCAATATATAATATATGTAATATATATATATATATATATTTTAATAAAAACGAGCTTCCTTGCGAAATCTCAACCGAAATGTATTTTTTATTCGTTTGCAGCCTCCACAAGCTTTCGTTTGGCTTCGGTATGACATGGCGGTAGCCACAGATTAGTAAAGTAGTAATCTTATCAGTTTCCCAACAGCTGTCTGTCGGCGCGCACTGATACAAAACAAAGGAAGCTGTCAAGGCGCCAAGGCGGTGTCATGGTGACAGCCCAAATTTGAATTCGAATATGCGCGGGAAGTTCTTTGTGACGTCCGGCGTTGTATCTTAATTAGTCTGTATAGGTCTTGTGTTTATTTCTCTGCCGGTGCAAGATGTTGTCTGCAGAAATGTTGATACCCAGGGATTTAAATATTATAGTGTTGTTTGAGATGTCATGTTTAATGTTGTTATTCAAATCTTAATATTGTGTTTTTCTCTTCTTTGTCTTTCAGACTGCCCCTCCAGAGGTCTGTAAAAATTAACCCAACTGTTTATATTATTTATAATCTTTTGAAACTATTTTATTGCAACAATATTAGACAACTTTTACATTTATTGATAACAAAAATTTGTTGTTAATTGTTTCTTTTAGTTTAATTCTAGATTGTAGTTTTGTGTGTAGATTAATTTTAACAGAGCAAGCTATCTCATGCACACTTTAGGTCTGTCAGTTTCATGATAAGTTAGGGTCATGTGCTGAAACTAGTACATCAGCAGTTATAACTGAAGATTTTCTTTCTCCTGTCTCAATAGCAAAGAAGACAATCTGTACGGCTGCGGACGGTAAGCTCCTCTGAAACACATTTAATCAGTAAAGGACTGCTCTTTAGTTTCTTAACAGCAGCTTCCTCCGAGAATTAACTTTAACCTTGAAATTGAAATTAGCATAAACACAATGTCAATTTGCATTGCACGTGCATGCTACATTCTATATTTAATTTATTTTTCTACGACCTTCTGTGATTACAATATAAAACAGGGATTATTTTTGGGATTGTTATTAATAACTAAAACTAATAATGTGCTCAGTGTCACTGTAGCCTACATCATTCTGTGTGATCCACTGTTTCTGTTTTGAAATGTCTTTTTGTTTTGCAGAAACCACAAAAGGCTGTGGAGCCGAAGAAAAAACCTGCTGTAAAAGTATGAAATTGCTAACACTCACTGATCTCTGTGTGGTGTACTGTGTGTCACATGTGAAACTGATTTATTGCCCTCAGTTTCCTGAAGGGAAATTAAGTGTGGCTTAGTGCCAGGGTGAAAGGGGGAAAGATCTGTTGAGGAACAGTAAAGATGTTTTGCTACACTTGATTTTCATCATTATTCTGAAACATGTTATAATTGTATACTACCTAAAGAACTCTGATCTTTTGGTAATCAGTTGTCATGTCATTTGTAGAGGGCAGCCAAACCAAAGAAGGACAAGCAGGCTGAAAATGGGAACCCCAAGGCTGAGGTTTGTTTCTTTTATCAGAAAGACCTTTTTTTCTTCTGGTAATTAGTGCTGTTTAACTAATAAATAATATGAGCAAATTAAAGAACATGTCATTTTTAATCTATGTAAAAATCTATGTAAAAATTATGTAAGCCTATCTCAAGAATATCTATGGATGAAAACAAATGCTATGAATGTGGTAAGCTAACAATATTATTGTGAAGGAATGAATTTGTAGCCTTCTTAATAGCAAACCCAGCTGCTAGTAACCCTCAAAACATGTAACTCTGATTCCTTTTGTTATTTAACTTCATCTGAGGACACAAATGGCTAATTCAAGCGTATTAGTATTAATTTGAGGGCGCAAAAGTTTAAAAGATGTATTCCTAGTTGTGTTTTTTAAGTAATATGCACCTGCATATGAGTGATTATAAATGAAACCTATAATTATAACCTAAAAAAAACCCCACACTGTCTGCAAGATCCGAAAGTTTAAGTCCTCAAAGAGGTTTGAATTTTACTCCCTGAATAAGTTTTAGAAATTCTAAGTTTTGGTGCAATGAAGTCCTGTCTCACAACCATTTGCAATCTTTTTTTTTGACTTGTACACACAAAGCACATTTTATTTTGTATTAAAAGGATCTGACATGTCCCTACCTGGCTCAATAAAACTTGCAGGCATAGTGCAATACAGAATATAAGATGAATTTGTAGTAGGAATGTATCGTCGTACCACCAAATCAAGCAATGCATATAACGTGCTGCTTTGTTTTCTGTCCCCAGGAGTCAAAGGCCGAAGCCACCGAAGCCAAATGAATAACGGTTGACGTGCTCACTCTGTGTACTTGGTGATTGTACAGTTTTAAATAAGTATTTTTACCAAGTTTTATATTACAAATGTCATTTATAGGTTTGGTTTGGGCTTGCACTCGATGTAACAAAAGTTTGTTGTCACGTTCATATCCATTTTATATCCATTTAAAAAACGATTACCGTCCATATCTTGTAGAAGTGGCATTTTTAGTTTGTCTAATCCTGTTTTGTTGGCTTTTTTATTTTTGAACTGCTGAGTAATAGAAGTTTTTCCAACAAGTTGGATTTGAATCTTATTTTAAACATTATAAGGCAGCTAAAGCATATTATTAAAATTTGAGGGGGACAGGGGATTGTTTTCCTCTGATCTTATATTTTAATGTGTAACTAATAACAAATTGCTTACCAAATGTTTTAAAACACTGTATGTTGACATAAGATCCAGTCAGTGAAAATACCATGGAGTGAAAATACCATGAAGAATACTGTTACTAGGTCATAGGACTGGTACATCCCCCAAAAAAAACATATTTGATGTGAACCTTGTCACCTGATCAAGAGTCCTGTTAAGTTATGTTTCTGCTCTCTGACTGAAGCTTTTCTGACTATAATGGTTGATCTAAATGTTCTTGAATAAAACTTGTTAAAATGTCGTCTTGGAGTTACGTTATTATGACATAAAAACCCTCAATGAAAAATGGGAATATCTTAGTTTCACAGACCTCGTGTCCCTACAGGAGTTGGTACAATATGTTTTATGCACAGATTAAGTGTGAATCGCAGGGTCCTCCATCTTGGCATGACTTCCATTTTAAGATAATTCTCACCTAAGATTTTTTTTTTCTCCTTATCCCCACTTAAGGTTTAGATTAGTGGCTCAGTTGTTATTTTCAACCTGCAGATTTGTCAATCAAATTTGAGATTGTATCCTAAGAAGCTCCCTTCTATATGAATGCCTATTAAAAAATGTAAACGTACTTTACTGTGGAGGCCATAACTTCCTTGAAAATTGTATATAGATTTTAATCAAATAAAAGCAAAACCACATTGTAAGACACCAAAAAAAGGTCATACATTTGGAACATTTGCATTTGTTGAAACTAGAGTATTGGGAATTGAGCAACAAACTGAATTTATGGTCTTTTGTAATTGTACTGTTGCATCATTTAGAATTTAGTGTTATTTCAAGTGCTGTTGGATAGTTAGCCGACAGTACTGGTGATGCAGAGGTACAATGTGAGATGGTGATTTGGATAAGTACACACATCTATTGCCTGTCTGTCCGTCCTGTTAGACGGATCCATCCTCTTGCTCTTCCTGAAGTTTCTACAATTTTTTTCCCCTGTTAATGGGGTTTTTTGGGGAGTTCTTCCTTATATGCTGTCCAAGGACAGAGGGATGTTGTATGCTGTTAAACCCTCTGAGGCAAATTGTGATTAGTGATATTGGCTCTTTATAAATAGAATCAAATTGACATTGCACCTTAAAATTGAAAAATTCTTATGTAAATGTCTCAATAATAGTTAAAAGGGCTGTGTTGACTGTCTAGCTCTGGAGAACCCTCTGTGTCTTTGCTTCACAGCACCAGTAGAGGGCAGTATCGCCTCACTGCAGACAGATGAGATACTTCTATTTTGTTCCAGCTGGTGTCTCCCCCTCCTTTAACTTGTGCAGTCTGTGAAAGTCGGTCAAATATGACGCGTTTTGTTTTGGACCCTTTCACCACACTATTTGCTCACAGGGGGGGAGGGGCTGGGTTAGGTGTGTTTCTTTGGGCTGTTTAACATCCTGTGAGCTGCAGTTCTGATTCAACAGTACAGTAATGATCAAAACAGAGTCAACTGTAACTTTAATAATAATAATTACAAAAAACAAATTAAGTAGTACAATATGAGGCATGGGGAAGTAAATGTCAAAGTACAATATAACATTTTTAATTTCAAATCCAAATCTGGTTTCAGATTAGTTTTATTCATTTGACAGCAGAGATGGAAGCTCACATTAAAAGTGTAGAGTTCATTCTGTAGATCAACATTTGGTGCAAGGTTTTTGACTATTACATGAAGTTAAGCCTTATGAGCATTTATACTTGCACAGTGGTGTGTCTGTGTCACTGCAGTTAAACCTCCAAAACACTAGTTGGCAGCAGGGTGAAGTGCTGTGAAGTTTATCTGATTCACACATTAAACATGGCTTAATAGAGACAGTTTCAAACACAAGTACACAAATCAGCTTCACTATAACTCGCAGCATTCACAGACTAAGCACTTGTCTTTACCTGGACACATTTTCCCCACAGATACAACAGGTTAAGGTTATTAGCACAAGCCTATGGCATTTTGCATTGTATAAATTAGCCTAGTGACGTGCAGAGATTTCCTCTGCTCATATGACATCTGTATTAATCCCTGGGAGAAGAATCACACACAAGACTTAAAATGCTAATTTTTTGTGGAGGCTTAATTATCTACACAATTTATTGTTTTGTATCCGTGAAATTAAATTAAATAAAAGCTTCGTTTCCACTGACGGAAATGGTTTCATCTTATAACCATTTAAAACCATAGGTGTGGATTTTGGAGGGAACAAAGGAGACACATCCCCCTCGTCCAATCACATGACATTATAGCAGGAGACTTTTATTATTTTAACATTTTTACTAGGGGGCGGCACAGTGATGTGGTGGTTAGCACTGTTGCCTCACAGCAAGAGGGTTCCCGGTTCGATCCCAGGCGTGGGAGCCCTTCTGTGTGGAGTTTGCATGTTCTCCCCGTGTCAGCGTGGGTTCTCTCCGGGCACTCCGGCTTCCTCCCACAGTCCAAAGACATGCTGGTTAATTGATAACTCTAAATTGTCCATAGGTGTGAATATGAGCATGAATGGTTGTCTGTCTCTATGTGTCAGCCCTGTGATAGTCTGGCGACCTGTCCAGGGTGTACCCTGCCTCTCGCCCATTGTCAGCTGGGATAGGCTCCAGCCTCCCCGCGACCCTCAAGAGGATGAATCGGTTAGAAGATGAATGGATGGATGGACATTTCTACTACAAATTGATGCAGAAAAGGCACACACTGGTGCATGAAATTTGCCCCAAACACAGGAAATTAAGTGTTAGATGCTTAAAGCTTTTTAACAGAGGACTCCCAAACCCCTCGTTTCATATGTGCCATCCCCCCAGTGTTGAAATCTACGCCCTTGCCTTTAACAATAGATTGTTAGCGGATCTCATTAACAATGCAATCTGATTCAATCTGCCCTGATCCCTTCAACACCTCTGCTGTTGTAACAACTCTGTCAGGGGTCTGTTAATGTAAAATAGATTGTCTGGCCACAGAGCTAAATGTTATAAAGACTATACTGGATACCATATTTGCTGAAGAAGATCCTGTGATTCATCTACATTCCAAAACACATAGAGCTCCACTTTAAGATATGTATTTTTTCCATTTCTCATATGTTCACCTTTAACAGATAGAGTATTTGAACCAAACAGGACAACATGTAAATGCCATGTTATATGTCAAGGTGACTGCAGCAACACCCCCATCCTGTTGGTTGAGGTCAGCTGGTTCATATGCATTTCTCCAGTAGGACAGAAGGTATGATGCCAGTATACTGTAAACACATACTTGAAATCAGTTAGGGGTTATGTCATGTTACGTGTGGTAAAGTCGGGGGGAAAGGTGACACTTGGAGAGGCATGCGAGGGCTGACACAGGCAAAGAAGGAGCTGCAACACAACAGAGCTGAAACATACAGGTCTGGTGTATCAGCCTATACTGCACAGTTCTTAAGGTATAGCAGGTCAAACTGACTTAGAGTCGACAGAAACAATCACACTAAAAGGTACATTCAGTTGTGGAGCTATGGATCCTATCACACAATCTTCCCTAAAACTTGAGATTGTTTTTAAGCCAACATGGACGAGAAGTCCTGCCAGTGTCACCTTTCCCCCCGAGTTTACTCCACGTGAAGTGACACGTGTGAACTCTAAAGTATGTGTAGCTTCAGTGTGGAGGACACCATCCTTTCTCTCTCAGGTCAGGAATCCACCGACCCTGAACCAGCAAATTTTCCTGTCAGGTTCAAATATTCTGTCTGCTTCTGCCACGAGCGATGCTGGTTCTCATCCATTGTCCCCAATTAAAAGAAAATGTGTCAAAACTCAACCAAGTCACCAGAAGAAAATGTTGGCATTCTACAGTGAAATAGTATATGAGTTGACTTTGTCATCAGAAAAGGGTTTGGCGCAGCATCTGCAGTGATGGGGGCGCTGTGCCAGGCCGTCTTGGTGAAGAGGGAGCTGAGCCGGAAGACATAGCGTGCGATTTACCAGTCCATCTACGTCCCAACCCTCACCTATGGTTATGAGCTTTTTGGGTAGTGACCAAAAGAGTGAGGTCACAGATACAAGCGGCCGAAATGAGTCTCTTCCGTGGGGTGGCTGGGCTCAGCCTTACAGATAGGAGAAAGAGCGTGGATATCTGGATGGAGCTCGGAGTAGAGCCGCTGCTCCTTCTCATCGAGAGGGGTCAGTTGAAGTGGTTCGGGCATCTGATCAGGATGCCTCCTGTGCACGTCCTGTTTGAGGTTTCCCGGGCACGTCCCATTTGTAGGAGGCCCTATGGCAGACCCAGAACAAGCTGGAGGGATTACATATCTCATCTGGCCTGGGAACACCTTGGGGTCCGCCAGGAGGAGCTGGAAAGTGTTGCGAGGGGAGAGGGACGTCTGGGGTGCTTTGTTTAGCCTGTTGCCTGAACGGACCCAATTTCTGATAAGCGGTTGAAACTGGATGGATGGGGATGGTGGACGGCATGACACCTGCTAAGTTGCAGATCACTGCAGACCACTTTTTGAGACCAACAAACAGCAAAACCAGCTGTGTTTAAGCAAGTCATTGCTGTGTTTTCATCAGTTTTTAGACTCCAAACATGGATGTTTCGTTGTGACCTGTGGCTTTTATTTACCAGCAGTGATAGTTTCATTTACCAAGACACTGCTACTTTTCCTTCCAAGATTGTGCCTCCGCAAACGTGTATGTTAAGTCAAAACATGATCTTTTCCGAACCAAAATCATGTGGTTTTTGTGCCTAAACCTGACCACAAGATAACCACAGTGTTGTTGAAACATTAAGTTTCAACATATCGGCTACGTGGATGTAACACATCCGTGGTTTGCAGACGTACAGTGTCAACATCTCTTCTTGCAGCTAGATTGCAATACTATACCTCGATGGAAACAGGAGGTCACTAAGTTGACCTACAGTCTTAAGACTTATTTTGTCTATAAGTGACCTTTATATCTCAACTGATGCAAATATCTTATGGACTCTGGATGTTTCCTCAAATCAAATATTGACAACAAACACCACTGTCCATGAGTGTGCACAATGCATTTTTAGTTCAAGATTCAACATTTCAACTTAATAAATAAACAAATGCATTTTAGCCATTGATTCCAGCCACAAAGTGTACACATGGATTTATGTGTTGGTATTTCCAGATATTATGACCAAAATATATACATATATAATTATGAAGACTGAAGACAAATTGTACTAGCATGTCACCAACACGTGAGCACAAACGTGGACGAGCCCATTTCTCCCAGACGTGGGGGTCTATGTGTTTCACATGCACACTGGCATGCTTT